ACTGTAGAAGAACAAAGACTATGCATCAACAGTGAAGCTTGCACCTTAGTTAATATATATTAGATGGTTAAACCAGAATCTCAGCTTGTATTTAATTTTCAGGGGGAGTTGTTTTTGGTTTTGATCTGGTATCTGCTAACTTTTTACGTAGAGGTATGATTTTGATTTTGTCATCTTGTCTGGTAACTGAGCCGTTCTCCTTTTCTTTTGCATTTGAGGTTTAACAGACAACCTGCTAGGGAGAACTCCTTTGAGTGTTTCCTGAATCCTTGTTGATCTTTCCGATCGTGGAAGCTCAAATACAAGTTTTACTTACTTTCTGTCAGTACACTTCTATTTGTGTATTGGAGTTTCTTTTGCTTGAAGTTACTTATCCCTAAAATTACTATTACTAGATCTACATGATAGAAAATAATATCACATATGTATGGGGAGCAATAAGATGGTCTTGAATGGAATGGAAATCAGTAGTTGCAGGAGCTCACAGTCCGCTCTGATAATCTTGTGTCCTGTTAGGAGATAAGCCACAGGTTTTTCACAATAGTCCTGACAAATGCAGCCGATTGAGACATGACTTTGGAATCTGAATCGTTGCCTGATGCTTTTCAGGGATTTCCTGATAGCTGTGATTCATTTTGACAGGTAGGACCAACACGAAAGGTGGATTTGTCAGAGAGGAGAGGCAAGTAAGCTGTGTCCCTCTGTAATGGTCAGACCCTGTGTGTAAATGCCCTTTCTAGTCCACTGTTAAAAAATATCAGCCTATTGCCTGTCCTCTGATTCTAAGACAGATTTGGCAGGCACAGTATTACATCCTGAGTAGCCTGACTAGTTGAGACTTCTGTGAGGGATGCATTAGAAGATGATGCATGGCATCCTTTCCCTTTTCTTTCTTGTCCTATGTTTGTCAGTCACCAACACAAAGGATCAATTTGGAGGCCAGTTGAACAAATTAAGCCATTTGTCTTGGAAGTGCACTTAACCCAGGAAGTGGGAGCAACACTTCATTTAGGCCCTAAGTTAGGATCTTCTGTGTTGGTCTTGGCCTCTGGGCCACAGAAAACAAATGGCTGACTGCGACCCGTTTGCTGGGCAGTGGCTGAAATGTTGTTGGGAGGGAAAAACACAACACAAATATCCCTGTCTGTAACTGATGAGCAGTGGTGAACGTGGAGGCACTTCGATTTTCATACAGAAAGGCCTGTTCCTACCTGCCCATGGGGGATAGGTGACAGCATGGTGCTCCCACGTTGGATCTGCTCCGCATGGCACAAGGTGGTTAAGATTGTGATCTGCAGAACCCCACTGCACATGCAAGGGATCCACCGGGGGTGCTCATAGGCTTGTGAACAGAACTTGCATGCAAAATTGGCAAGCTTGTGTTTTGTGAGGATGGCATGAAGGGGTATGAGGACAATATATTTGTACCCTCTGGTGTGAAGCCAATGTTTTGTTTATTTTGTTTACCATTACTAGAAAACCCTTGTACTCAGAACCTTTTCATTCATCAAAAGACTTTGTCTGTACTTTGTCTGACTTTGTCTGACCTACTGCATATAGGCTTGGAAGACGAGTTTGCTAAGGTAAAAGTAATTTCTGCGGAGATGGCACAAAGAGTTGCAGAGTAGGAACCTTCTTTTCTGGCTGGGATTTCTGAGAGCAGGAGAAATAATCTTCCATAATGGGATTGTGAAAAGGAGTTTAGGCATTTACAGTAGGTATGTTACAATAGAACTGACAAGTATACTCATTTGAGGTTTTCAAGACTTTTGGAATGAAGAATTCTTTTTGAAAGAAGTAGAAAAACGTGAGAGTTCCTAGAAGTGGAAAATTTATAGCTGTTAGCAAGTATAGAAGGAATAAAATGTTGGCACTGGGCAACTGCTATATCTAGGCTAAAAATTAGTAAAATTTAATATATATGGACATGGTAACAGTCACCTGGGGTGCCCTCTGACAGCTCAGAGCACTAAAGCTACTTTTAATAAGGAAATCAAGATATACAGGTCCAGGAAGGTGAAACAGACTGCTCTTTCTACCTGAGTGCTGAAAAGTGGGTATGGGAATTGTTTGGCTGGTTTTGTTTGGGGCTTTTTTGGTTTTGCATGTTTTTTTTAGGGGGTGATCATTTCGAGGGATTAGGTTTGCCCAGTCTGACAAATTTGATAGGTGATATGATTGAAGACATAGTTAACGTGAGCTGTATACAGTCTCATAGTGCTTGTGACACTATTACTCATCTGAAGGGGAGAAGTTTAAACCTACTGTCCCAGGTAGGGGAGGTTTCCGCTCCAGGGATTACTGTAGTGAATGTATTTCTAGCCTCAGTCTGATCTGGTAAAGATTTACAGATAATAAAATGTAGTAATAGTAATAAATACAATAATCATAGAATCATAGAATGGTTTGAGTTGGAATGGACCTTAAGGTTCCAACCCCCCTGCCATGGGCAAGGACACCTCCCACTAGACCAGGTTGCTCAAAGCCCCATCCAGCCTGGCCTTGAACATATCCATGGCAATAATGAAATAATGTAGGTTTGGACCTTCTTGCATTTTCTTTAATTTCCTTATGAGAAAGCAGCTTTTGCTAGACCCCTTCTGAATAGTTAGTTGTTTTAGTCCTTCTGTTCATTTTCAGTACAGTAAGCTTTTAAGTATGTTACCATTACGCTTAAAGTAAGTCAGTCTTGATTTTTATCTTGTTTGACGTACTTTTATATGTATAATTTTCCTCCTAGTGTATTCTTGCAAATGGAGAAGAAATATGAAATAACTGTGTTAGACTGCTTTCTGTTACATGTTTTAGTACAGTTATGCTAAGGATTGGGAAGTATTCCTTGTCAACATTTTTAATAGGAGAACAGCACATAGCCTATGCTACCATCCAGCTCCTGGCAGGATTACATCAGAAGACTAAATGGATGGCATTTCAACTGCAGCACTTTTGGAGATAAACCTGTCCTTGTGACCAGGAGAAATTACTGCGAATACATTGTTGTCTTTGTCTTAAGTGCGCAGCTGCTGTCTCTTGATTTGGTGTTTGGGCATACATTGCCAGACATGAGGGAGGAGACTTCTTTTGTTTGGATTAACTGTTTTTCACAATCACGAGGTTGTAATTTTGGACACTGAGTGAGAGAAATAATTACTTTTTCCTCCCTCTATTATCCATGTCAGTCTGGTGGTTTCTGGTCAAACAAAAACTTCCAGTCACTTTAAACTTTGGGAAGTGGAGGGAAACACAACTAATTGATAAATAAAACATGGGTCCCAGATACTTTGGTATTCCAGCTGTTAACCTGTAACTGTTGGACACTCTGATCGGACACTCAAATCTGTGTGTTCAGTAATAACAAATACATCTTCTAAAATGTCCCTTCTTTGGGATGTGTTTTCAAGTGATTTGTGTAGGCCAGGGGTTGGGAGCTTATGCTGAGGAATGCGGTGGCTGTTTTTTGGTTGACTGTTTTTTAATTCTGTTTTCTTTTGGGAGGCTTTTTGGTAAGCAAAATAAGTAGTATAAAATCACAATGTGGCGGTGTTATAAGGCCTGAGTAGTGACTCCAAAAATGTGTTAGCCGTTTTGTTCCTTAATCTTAAAGGAGATCTCCACCTTTACTAATATGTAGTGTCCATTTACTCCATGACATTTGTGCAAGTGTTTGATCTGGAATGCTTGTGTGTTCTGTCTTTTGCTCTGTCTGGTGGGGTATGCTAGCAGCAGGAGACAGAAGCAGATGCAACTTCAGTCTCATAACTGATAATGTACTCCCGCTTCCTTGTTAAAAAGACTGAAGCTGTTGGAAGGCAGTGTGCTGTTAGTCTTACTGGTGCTGGTCTTAAAGATGTAAAGTAGCCCATGGGACAGAAAGAGTCTTGGTTGAAAAATCCCTCTTAAAGAGATTAGGCCTTCAGGGCAGAACCCCTTATGCTTGCCCTCCTTTGAATGAGGGGTTGGATAAGGGTGATCTCCTGGGGTTCTTTCCTACCTGAATTATATTATGATTCTGTGGGGATTCTGATGCTGAGGCCTGCCTCTGCCCTCTCTGCCTCAGACTCTTTTGCCTGTCCTACATTACATCTCTATGCTCTGCAGTAATTCTCATAGAAGGAATTTTTCTTTGCCCTTGCCCCTTGCCAGCTTCTAGAAACCAAGATTAACTCTACCCCTTCAATAGCAGGGAGGAACAATTCCTGTTACCTGTATAGCCAATGGGACTTACACAGCATACAGTGATTTTGCAGTGGACAGGAGAGCATGGTGTTGTAGGGTAAGGGGTAAAATTTTCTAACCTTCAGCTTTTTCTAGTTTCCTAATAGAGGAAGAAAACTTGTTTTTCTGACAGTTAATTTCTTTTTGCTGCCTTTTGTCCTAGTTCTCAAAATAAAGGTAAATATAATGTTCCTTTGAAAGAAAGAATGGCCCAGATGGGTTCAAGGAAATAAGTTTAAACAAGAAGCTTGTTTTGTGTTTTGTTCCTTTTTAACTGCCAACTAAAATTACAGTTTCTTATTAATGCAGTGAAGAGAATAGCGTTACAGTACTTACTTGAAAAAAATTTAACCATATTTTCAGTTGTAGCTGATAAACCTAAAGAGCAGAGGAGATGAAGTAAGTGCAAGCAAAAGTGTGCTTTTTGGTGAATAATAGCAAACTTCTCTGATAAGAATTGCACTGGGTTGAATGTGCTGACTGTTTGGATCTTTCTAATTTGTCCATCCCAATTACTCCATATCTTGTGATAGTCAGAAATATTTTGACATAGAGTCTGCCTTTGTATAGTTTCTCATGTGAACAGGAGCTCACCTATATCAGCACCCATTAGTAACCGATTTGTGGCAATTGTGTATTTGTCCTCTGAACTCAGACTGTACTTTGAAGGTGGCATATGTTGCAGCTGGGTGAAATGGGGTTTTTTTGCTGGTAGGGTGTTACTGCCTTCTGGCTTGCACATCTAACTTGGAGATTCTAGTAACAGTTACTTTCCTGTCTTTCAGGTATTGATAGCTGATGACTACTCAGATCCATTTGATGCCAAAAGTGAGCTGAATAGAATGGGAAAAGGGGAGAACACTGGCTATATGGAACCATACGAAGCCCAGAGAATAATGACTGGTAAGAAAAGACAGTTGCACATGTGAGCTTAAATTCCATGGCAGTTCGTGTGGTTATTGCAGCTGCTACGAAACAGAAATATCATTTGGCCTGCAAAGCCATGTTTCTGAAGATGCTTAGGAGTCAATAGTAAATGCTGCAGAGACTTTTCATGTGCCTGCACATACCTTGATTTCTAAAAACACTGCTTTGGACCTCACTGTTGAATATAGATGGTCGGTACTGTCATGTGGGAAGATGAAAATGTGAGCACTGGGAGTTGGATTGTGTATTGCTTAGCTTGGCAATGTCAAGCCTGTCATATGTGTGCATAATAGGGATGGCCAAAGCATGACATTGTGTTAGTTCACTTAAAAACAGTTCATCAATTTGCTTATTTACTTACTGCCTTTTTTTCCTCAAACAGATTCAGACATCTTGGTCTTCCCTGTGTTGGAGGAGGGCTGCAAAGCTACATCTTTGTGTAGCTCTCTGCCTCCCTCCCTTCTCTGGTGGTTTTTTGTACTAGTGGTCAATATGAGACACTGTGGGATTCTTGGTAGTGTCCTTCCTTTTCTGTCCTGTAGAGAGGTGGTTAATGGTGGTATTGTTGTTGGAATTTGGACTGTTTGGACCCCTTGTCCAGTTGTTATGCAACTGTATTATCCATGTATTTTCCTCATATTATCTGCAGCCATTTCGTACTTGTTGTCTGTGCAATCTGTAAACTTTTCAGGGGTATGGGGCCTTATGTTCTTTATTCAGGATTATTTGACTTTGTCAAAACACGTCTTTGTGCAGGTAATTCATGCATTTCTTGAATTTGTACAGTAGGTCCTCTTCTTCTCATTATGAGGTAAAAGTCACGCTTGTGCCCAGTTAAATTGATTGTATGCTTTCCTTTTCTATTGGCAGCTCCTGTTTTGGGCGCTCAGGAAAGATTAATCAGTGGGGGGAAGATCTTTGGATGCAAAGATCATTTTTTCGTGCAAGTGTTCCTATTTTTCTTTTCTTAAATAGCATTTCTGAAGAGAGACACAGGAAATGACATGTAAACTATATTGTTTGGAAGATTTCAGTATCTTCTAGAGGAGCTGGAGCTTTTATTTCTTATTCATGTAAACATATTCATTCTAGTTTAATAATTTCTCAGAAAAACAAATTAGTCCCAGTAAGTTCTTGGGTTTTTTTACAGCAGTGATGAGCATTTGTAGTTTTAACTATGAAGTTTACAGTGCTGTGAATTCTTCCTTCCTGTGTTTAGAACAGGAGCTTATTCTATCTTCTTTTCCAGATTAGCCATAATAAATAGATGGTTTAGTGGACAATACTGGATGGCTTAGGTGAAGTAAGGGGCAGTATATTTGTGTACCCTTGTAATTCCAAGACACCCTTTTGCCAACTGGTGTGTGGTGTACCTGCTAAGCTGTGATATTTGCTACATAAAGCAAGCATGAGGCACTCTCAACGATGCTAAAGGCACTTTTGAGACTGGTGTATAACTGAGTGTAATAATATAGCACGTTCTAAATATGCATTTAATTGAGCCAGTAGAAGGTGCTTGATATCTCTGTGAATACGTTTGGTGTTTTGAGAACCAGGTATTTGGTTTCCAGTCATCTTATCCTAATGCTAGTAGAAATAGAGAAAGTCTTCTCATAAGCCTTGGTGAGGTGAGGTTATGTCCTACTATAATTAAGCACGTTTTTATGTTTGGTTTTTTTACTGCACAGATGTTGCCTTTGCATTTTACTTGACAAATGGAAATCCATGGGCATCATTTTGGAGAGTTTTTAAAAACTCAGCTTATATTTCCCAGATGAGTTCAATTATGTATCTGCTACTCTAAAGAAGACTTTTGGACCGCAGTTTAGTTGGCTGCAAAATGTTTACTGCTTTGTTTGTTATGTTTATTTGTTATCTGTGCTAATGAACAAAAGAATGCTTTACGGTAATCCATTTAGCTTGACTAATTCAGTGAAGTTCTAGCTGTATTTAACATGGGTAATCCCAGAGAGGAGGAATCTGCATACCCTAGCAGAATGCACTTTAGGAGAGACAGAAAACAAAACAGCGTTTTGTCAGTTATTCCGTGTTTACTGATGCACCCCACCTTTTGATCAAGTCTGGAAACCATGTGTAAGTGGTAGTTTGAAAGAGGAGCCTAAAGTTTTTGTGCATGCCGCATGCTTCTTGAGTTAGTAAAGGACTAGGCAAAAGCAAATGTCCAAGTGAAATAAGATGGTATCATTTTGATTGAGAAAGCTAAGCTTACACCTGAGTAGAAATGTATGATGTCTGAAATAACTAATACACTCATTGAAAAATGATTCTCCCTCCCTGAAGCTCTCTGGGGTCACTGTTGTGATGCACTTGGTTCTTAGCTGATTTTTAATTTTTTTTTTTTTTTTTAAAAAAACATTGAAAATGATGATTTCCATAAACTATTGAATGGTCTATCTGATTCCATACTGTCTGTAATTAAAATTGGGTTTAATCAAGCTTGAAGTTTCTTCTGCTACTGGTTCGAGTACTCTGCCACTCTAAAGTTAAAGAAGATCCTCCTCATGTTTAGATGTTCAAGTTCATGTTCAAGTTTGTGCCCATTAGCTCTTTTCCTGTCACTGGGCACCACTGAAAAAAGACCTCCTCCTGACACCCGCTCTTTAAGTATTTATAAGCATTGATAAGATCCCTTCTCAGATTCTCTTCTCTAGACTAAAAAGACCTAAGTCCCTCAGCTTTTCCACATAGGAGAGATATTCTAGTCCCCTAATCATCTTCGTAGCCCTTTGCTGTACCTTCTCCAGCAGTTCCCTGTCCTTCTTGAACCGGGGAGCCCAGAAGTGGACACAGTACTCCAGATGCAGCCTCACCGGGGCAGAGTAGAGGGGGAGGATGACCTCCCTCGACCTGCTGGCCACACTCTTGTTTATGGACCCCAAGATGCCATTGGGCTTCTTGGCCCAAAGGGCGCATTGCTGGCTCATGGTCATCCTATTGTCCACCAGGACTCCTAGACCTTTTTCCTGAGAGCTGCTCTCCAGCATGTCAGTCCCCAACCTTTACTGATGCATGGGGTTATTCCTCCCCAGGTGCAGCACCATATACTTGCCCTTGTTGAATCTCGTAAGATTTCTCTATCTCTGCCTGATCTGTATAGGACAGACTGAATAGACGAGCTCATGTACATCCCTCATGTGTGGGTGACTGGTACAGGAGAAGTATCTGTGTGCTGGAGCTGAAGAGCTGGAAGTTATTTCAAAGGGCGCTCTAGAGCATGTGCGTCATGGCATAGAGATACCTCTTGTCTTGCCTGTGTTGTTCACTGCATTCATCAACCTGGGTGATGACACATCTGCACTACGAACTAAGGGAAGTGCTTGATGAGGAAGGGCAGCGTCTCCATCCAGAGGGGCCTTAATAAACATGAGGATTCTGTCAGCAAGTGCTTTTTTGAGGTTAAACGGGAGATCTTAGAATTCCAAAGGAGAATTCATAGGCTCACAATATTAGCATCCTCCTTGATTTCTTCTTTTACTGTGAATTTATTATCCTGTCTACGCAGTAGAACAGCAGTGAGTACATTTAACTAGCTAACACCTAGGGAGTTTGTGCTTTGCCTCACTCACCATAGATGCAGAAAGCTGAGCCTCCTCTCTAGATGCAGGCAGTGCTAGAGCAAATGCCTTCATGCACTTCACTGCTTCTTTCCAGGGACTGCAGTAAGTCTGTGCCTGAATCATGATGGAATACGCAATGCATGACAGGCAGCTTAGCAAAAGCGTGCACCTGCTTTAACTGGGAGCTCCCCATGGACATGCTGGGAGCAGTAGCTCTGCCTTGCTGCAAGCTATCACAGAAATGCTGGGAGTGTAGGGAAAACAGCATTCCCATGAACCTGCACCTACTTCAAAAGGTCTTGGGTGTCAGTTTCCTTTGCAACAGGAGAGGTTTCTTTGTTCAGACATGTAACTTCATCTGAATAGTTACTGCAGCACATTGGTGGTGAGTCAGTCCTTGTAAAATCGTTTAGGATCCAGGTGGCCTCCGGCATGTTGCTTGTTGGCGCCAATTTTACCACTGCAAATAATGTAAAAAGAGCAATGATAATTGCTTTAAGTATTAGCTGCATAGATTAGCATGTATAGCATGGGATGTTTAGAAAGAACATTTCTGTTAATGATAATTACTTTGCTAAATATTAGGCTGCATAGATTAGCGTGTATAGCATGGGATGTTTAGAAAGAATATTGAAGGTCACTGAGCCTAGCAAGCCAAGTTTCTTACTTTATTAGACATTTGGACATAGATTTAATTCAGCAATGATTTAAAAGAAAAAAGTTATTTAGGGACAATTATAGAAGAGGACTTCTTCCTTTGCATTAGTGCATGAATTGAGGCATGTTTGAAATAATGCTGGATCTGCTTCAACACAAGTCCTTACCTTCTCTCTGAGCAAAGCAATAGATCTCATATATGCTGTGAAAATGTATGACTTTAGATTCACGTCCAGTTGCCACAATGATCAGGGCTTCTCTTCCTGCCTTTGTGGAGCACTTCACATCCCATCAGTAAGTATGAGGAGATAAGACCAGAATGTATGGAGTCGTAGTTCTCATGTTAGGAGAGACTGTGGTGTGTTGTGGTTGCTATAACTAGATGCATAACTGGGAGTGGAAAATAGCTGTGTGTAAAATGAATAGCATCCCCCTATGTTTAAGTCTGCCTCCTCCCCTAAAATAATATAAGGCATTCTCTCTAAAGTTTAATATTATGGCAGTGCTTGCTGCTCTGTATAGTGCGTACAAGCCTACAAATGCATGAAAATAAAAAGCTAACTCTTGTCTACTCTGTACAGCTGGGTAACTGTAAAACTGGCCTTTTCCTGAAAGAGTAGCCATCCCCCCATCTTGGTCTGGAATAGGAGTCAGAAGGAGAGGGACCCTGTGTCATGCCACTCAATGTATCAGTTCCATGCGCAGAATTTTGTTCCTTAGTTTCAGTGTACACATATTGTC